GCACCAGTGACACACACTGGCAGAGGCGCTGCCTAACTTGTAATTTTCTCTCCTCTCCCCAGCACCACGTATCCCATCATTTATTTAGTCTATCACTGCAATTTCCTCCCTCTTTATTACCTGCCACGGCACACAACTCAGTGACAACAGAGCAGGGTCTCTGCACTGCAGCCTCGGCAGAGCCTGGCTGGGCGGGGCCTCCGCTCCTCAGGCCCACAGGCAAAGGGCCATCCATCTCAACATTGAGCCCTGGCTTGGCTTCAGAGAACCCCACAGCCCATCTGGTCAAGTGCACAGAAGCATGTTAACTTGAGCCGTAAGCAATCGATCCGGGATAAAAGAGCAGCACTGCAAATCACTGTGGAAAAGATGTATTTGCCCATAAATGTTGCCAGGGCAAGGAACCGTTTGGGGAGCAAGAAACAAGACTTAAAGCTCTGATTCTGCTATGTATCGAAATGCATTTCCAACAGAATCATTTAAATATGTGAAATGCAGCAATAAAAGCTCTATAAATATGTGAGCAAACATTTATGTCATCTGGTAGCAGCAGAGGCCTTTCTTAACATGAAAGCAGGAACAACTCCGTTAAAGAAACGATAGTTTTGGATTTTTTTTTAACTTGTATACGTCGAGGGCCAATCTAACAAATCTGCCAGCAGCATAGCAAACAGGCAGCGCAGAAAGAAGACAGGTTCTCTCATTAAACCCCAGGTCGCCTCCGCGACCCTCAGTTTCCTGGGCTGGAAGGATGGTGCTAACATTGCCGACCTCACAGGACAGGGCAGGGGTCGGCAACAGCTTTACGGGGTCACAGCCACACTCGCCAGCTCTCATATTGTCGGGGCTGCTTTCTGGCTAGAGTGGCAGGGCTGGGCTGTTTTGACAGAGACCAAGGGGCCTGCATGGCCTAAAATATATACCATCTGGCCCCTTACAGGAAAGTGTGCTGACTTCTATCCAAAGGTTGGCCGATCCGTCTTAGGAGGAAGGACACCCAGAAGCCCTACCTTTCGCTCCCCCACTGTCTCCAGCTCAGGGTGGAGGTGGCTCGTGGGGGTGAGGCATGTGGCCTGCCAGACACGGGTGCCAACTGGTGGGGCTGCTGGCTAGATGCCAACAACTGTAGACCAGGCTTTAATATAGTATTATAGATATGAAACGGCAGTGGAGCAGCTGCTGCCGCAGACACTGTGGGTCCCTCCCCACTTCTTCAGAGACCCCCTTGGCTTTGCGTCTGGTCCGTCCTGCTGACCCGGATCATTTTCCTCCAGCCTCATGGGTTCCCCAGGGGCGGCTGCATCCACAGCCAGGGCTGCACCGCCGCCTCCACCATGCTGAGGCCCAAAGCCCCAGGCCAGGTGCACAGCCGCCCGCCCACTGGCTCCGAACTCAGCCTGTCTCCTCGGCTCCCCCCGTTCCTCTCCCACATCTCTTGGGCCTCTGTTCCCGGCCTAGGCTGTTCCAGGGCCTGGAAGGCCTGGCTGCCTCCTTCAAGTTTCAGCTCAGGATCACTTTGTCTGTGATGCCTTCACCCACCTGCTGGGGCCAATATGTGAGCCATCAGGCCTGTCCCGTCTTATTTATGTGCCTCCTCTGTCCCCAGAGACCTCCAGTCCCACCCAACTCCTCAGCTGCAGCCAGTGGGACCTAGGGGAGCCGGCTGAGTCAAACTGAGCCAATCACACAGAACCTTCCAGAAGTCTGAGATGAGCCGTGTCTCTGCCTAGAGATGGAGGATGGGAGCGGTGTGTCTCACACAACAGCAGGCAGTACTAAGTCGCCCCAACAAGACCCACCTGCTGAAAGCTGAGCCGGGGAAAGTTTACAGGGGCTCTTTTGTCGCCAGATGCAAAGGCCTGGCCAGGGACGAATGAGAAGCAGGCACAGGAAAACCCCTCCGGGCAAGCCCACGCAGTGCAGAGAAAACGCCGAGCTCAGCAAAGTGGCTGGCATCTTAAATGTCACAGGCGCCACAGAGCCCTGCAGCCTGACACTGCAGCGACGCCACAGAGGGACCCACACTCTGAAAAGAACCCCTATCACCTCGGTAAACTCACCACTGGCTGACTTGGTCTCCCGTGTACAAATGTAGCCAAGACAGCTCAGCTCTCTGAGGGCGCCATGCAGAGACCGTGTGGCCACAGGAATGAGTGGTCACCCAGGTTCCCGCAGGACTCCCACCCAGCACCCAGGTCCCCAGGAGCCCTGTGATACTCTCTGCCCTTGTGTTCTAAACCTCAGTGGATTCCGAGTCCTCGCAGCCAAAGAAGCCGAGGAGAGTTCATGGGCCCCTCTTTCCCTAAGCCCTCGGCCCGCCATGTATATACCTCCACGAAAGCACTCTATCCCGGGGCTGGGATTGTCCATCTGCGGATCTGGCTACCAGCACCCCAGTTCCAAGCCTGTGAGCCCCTTGAGAACGGGGGCCCCACACAGCCCCTGGCCATGGTACACACACGAGGCTCTAGAAAAGGTGTCAAGGGCCACGTGAACAAGTGAATCAATAAACGAACTGGCTGATGCCCGCTAGGAAAATGGACCCCTCGTCTCCAAGAACTGAGCATGGGATGGGCCAGGCATAAATGTCAACTGCATTCATTCATTCATTCGTTCATTCATTAGCTGAGCCATCCTGCCACTTGTTGGCAGCTCAGCTCGGGCCAGGAATCCAACCAGCAACCCTGTTGCTCAGAGCTCACACTCTTGAGCGAGCTCTTAACCAACTGAGCCACTCGACCGGCCCCTAAATGTCAACTGCTTTTAATAGTAAGTTCAAGGTGTCACCAGAGAATGCTAACCATTGGGTTCACAGCTGTAATTTCNCTTGTCAAGTGAAGCCCCAAAAAAGGTATAAAAAGGGTTATGATTACATGTCACCATGAATGCTTAATTCCTGCCCTGAGTAAAAGAATAAGAGGAACACACACACACACACACACACACACACACACACACACACACACACACGTGCACACACACGTATGTACACACACACACATACACACGAACCACCCCTCACCCCCAGGGAGGCAGTCTAATCACGCTCGCAGAAGCTCAGCAGATAACTAACTACAGGCAAATCCCTCCACTGACCACCCTGCAGCCAAGACGACGTCCTGGCAGCTGAGCAGCTCCCGTGCAGGCAGCCAGCTGATAGCCACACAGCGGATACCAGCCTGGTATCGAGCATCGGTTTCCACTGGGGAACAAAAGGCAAAACGTTTTGCCCTCTCCATGTCTGCAATGGACCTTTTAAGGAAGTCAAAAAATTCAAATATCATCTTGCCCTTAGTATCCTGTATTTGAGAAAACTGGCACAAGTGTCTAGAACACGGTCGATAGGCCCTTAATTAGAGGTCACTCAAAAGGCTGCTTTACCGGGTCAGAGGGTGACAGCTAGGGGGTATGGGGCTTTTTACATGATGAAAATGTTCTCAACTGGTGGCGATGACTACTGCACACAGATGTAAATATACTCAACACCACTGAATCGCATGGTATGTGAATTATGTCTCAAGAAAGCCTGCTTGAAAAAGAAGTGTAAAAAAAGACTGCTTTACCAAACTTTTAGTTTGCTGTAAGGTGGTGCCACACCTGTCAGGTTTTCATTCCTTGTTAATACTCAGGCTACAACATACATACTAAACTGGTGCTTCCCAGACAAAAAATAAGAAGCCACTGGTCACAATTTTGCCCCTAGAGCAGAATTTCCTTCCTGTGTGATGTCTTCTCTGTCCCAGAGGGAGAGGGTGGGGGCCGAGGCTGTGCCTGGAGCCGGGAGCCGACCTACCTGTTTTCTTCCTCCAGCTCCTCCTTTCTGTTCATCATGACCACGATGGCTTGTCGAAGCTCACCTGAGGGAAGAGAGAAAGTCCCATGAATCAGCAGGTCTCGCCCGGGACACCATCTTCTCACCAACCTCCATTATGCCCTGTTCAGGATGACTGGTCTAGACAAGTTCCCTTTCCCTTTCAAAAATAATCCCTGTCCAGCCTAAGTCATCCTGTGGGCTCACCTAACTATTCTCCTTAGCCACAAACACGGAAGAACTGGGCAGGATGAGCAGAAACACGGAGGTGTTTCCTCGGCTGCCCTGGAAAGGACAGGCCTGTGATTTCTAGGTGCTTTGCTAAGTCTCTGCGCTGGGCAACATCTGTTCTGAATGACGGTATGTTCCCAGGATAGCTGTTTCTCAACCCATCAGATGGAGGCAGATCACGTGACATTTGGGTCCTAGAAATGTGACATAGAAATGCTTCCTCAAGTTTGCTAAGACATTTTGTTTACCTACACCGACTTCTGTAGTGTACAGGCAACACCTAAGGGGGGGGTGTTCCCTCGCTAATACACAGTCCATAATCACTCATAGGGGCTACTCTTCCGAGTATCTATCACGTAGGACAGCACTGATAGGAAACCATGCCTTTAAATCAAATAACCACTCAGGTTTCCTATTGACATCAAACAGCTGTTGCCACTGCCCATCCACATATTCAAGACACTGTTTACCGTATCACTCAGATCTCAAGACCAGGAACTTTGGAATTTCTTCTGGAGAACCAGATGTTTGGAGTTGTGTTCCTCCCGCCCCCCCCGCCCCCCCAAAGAACCCTATGAACTATATTTCCCTCTTGGGATTGGCTGCTAGGAGGCTCACAGCCAAAATTATGCACCTAGTGATTGTGCGTGGTCATGGGGCAACCATGATGTGCCCGAACCTTCCCTCTGATCCTCTTCTCCAACCTGTATCTCCACCTGTGCCAAACTCATCCATAACTGGCCTCACTGTATTATTTTTTTATCTGTTTTAATATGCTGCTTCAAATCCGCTCTTGGAAAGAGGTCTGGTTTGTTGGTTTCTTCCTTTTAGCTAAAATTTGAACCCTTACACTCGTCGAGCTCTGTTCAAAGACCTTGCTGGCACTATCTCACTTAATCCTTTATTCGCACCTAAGAAACGCATGTCACTGTCCCATTCTACTGGGGTCTAAATAAGCTGCAAAGGAGGAAAGAAGGAGTAAATGGGGGAGAAAGATGACACAGATAAATAAGTGGGTCTCTGTCCCCTTATACTCAGGTGCTCAGGAACAGAGAGGCCCGCCAAAGGCCCTGAGGGAGAAACGGGGTGACAGAACCAACGTTGTGCTCAGATGCTAATAGAGGACATAAGAGCCCACAGCCCAGGTCTCGTGGGGAAGAAGCAGAAGAAACAAATTGTGGGGGCTTCTCCCCAGCCTCCAGGTCGGACACTAGAGGCCCCTGTGTTCAGATGAGGAGTGACAAATGAGAGACCCTCCCCGCCTTGTCTAGCCCACAGCAGCCACGTCAGCGTGCTGAGGGCATGACTGTGAGATCTTCACCTAGCTTCCCCACCGCGCTTTCAAAGAAACTGGGCCTTCCAAGGTGCCTGTGAGGAGGCAGATGTGTCGGGTGTCCCTCTCCTGGGGTCACCAAGGCATCACCAAGAAAGATCCGAAAATCACCGGGTCGACCCATATTCATTGAGCAGCTACAAGGTACAGGCACTGTTCTTGGCCCCGCGGGTGAAGAATGAGCAAGGCGGACCGAAGCCCCGCCTGCACACGAGGCCTCCTCTCTAGCAGGGGAGACCATCCAGCAAACAAGCACATAACACTCAGGGTGATGGGAGTGCCGGCCGGAAAACCAATGCGAGGTGAGGTGAAGGAGGCTGACGGTGGGCAGCGACGCCGTTTCACTGGGGAGGCCTCTCTGAGCAGGTGACGTGTGAGCAGCACCTGATGAAGCGAGGGTGCCAGCCACACTGCTACACGGAGGAAAACCACAACACACAGCCAAAGCACATGCAAAGGCCCTGAGACAGGTGTGAGCTGGGTCGCAAGATGAAGGCAGGGTGACATGAGGAGGGCGGCCTGGCACGTGGTGAGGGCAGAGCCCAGCAGCCACCTACCTTGCCCGAGACAGGGCACATGGCAGGGGTACAAGGTACCTTCCCAATGAGAGAGCCGAGCGCCCAACGCACCAAAGAGAGGAGAATTCCTTAATGGAGAACAATAAATAATAGATGTTCACCTACACCTGCGATGAAGCAGGGTCTGTATGACCTTGCATTTTGAACTTGACCAGGTAACTAAGGTTTTGGCTCTTGGACGGCTGTCTCAGCCTCTCTGAGCCTTTCTTTCCAGCACCCACTTTCCCCCCTCCCTGGGGTGCTGTAAGGTTCCGAGGGGAAGTGAGACTGGACAGTGCTATGTCGAGGCACCACCTCTTGTGGCTGCAGCAGGTAGGTAGCATTAACGATTTAGAACCCATCCTAATGCTCAAGTTGAAAAGAAAAGGTTTCACTGAAAACACTGATTAATCTGTAAAAAAAACAAAACGAAACAAACTGACAGTGACTTATTCCCATGACACCATAGCCGAGAAAAAAGTCAGGCTTACTACCTTATTGAAGACAGGCAGGTACTATCTCACTGGCTTTCACCTTCTGGAAACCCAGAGCAGGTGGCGGGGCTGCAGCCGTGCACCGTGGACATACTCGGGGGAAGCCACTCTGTACTCTCCGGCCTGTCTGAATTCCGAATTTTCTGACGTGGCCTTTTTCCCCGTGGGGGTTCTCAACTGGCCCAAACTTCACATGGGAGCAAAGGAATACGATATTCCCGACTGCAATACGATGCTGGAAGAGGTGGC